CAGCAGCCTGAGGGGGCAGCTGCTGTGGCATCTTTGTCTGACTCGTGGCATCCAGATGTTCAGTGATTTCTTCAAAGGAGGAGATCTCCAAATCACTGTCCTCATCTACAAACTACACAGGGAACAGGAAGAAGAAGGAGTTAGGGAATGGGGTGAGTATGACTATGCACTGTCCTTGTTCACAATGTACCGTGTTGAAATGCTGGGGCTAGGGTAAGGTTAGTGCAATGTTTTCCTTCTTTGTACCCCTACAAGCACTTTTAAAGTACTCAACGTTTCTTATTGGCCAGCATCTAATTTATAAAAGGCACCCTTACTGGTTTGCTTGCACAGCTCCCCACCAATTCCCAGTTCAAGGCAGGGCTGGCTGTTGCCCAGCAATAACATTTATGGGACACATCTATATTGCTTCTATGCTGTGCCTAGATTTGCCCTTGTGCAGCACATTGCTCTTACTCACTCCTGTTCTGTGGGTGTCCACTCCTGTACACAAGGCATATGTCTTGGCCATCAGCTACAGCAAGGGTTTGACATATATTGGCCATGCAATGGTCAATGTGAAGGTCTGGGTGACCTCTCACACATACACCATGATCCAGAAGGATTGACAGTTGCGTGTTACTACTATTGCTACTAATACTATGTGAATTTCCATTTTTTCAAGGGCTGTGATTGGATGAATATTAGAAAGGAGTTACTTTGTAACTGGATGAAGGGGCATATCTTTGGAGACTTTAAGGGCAACTACAGCCCCTCTCAGTAGAGACTGTCTATACGAACTATGAATTTATATCAAATAATTCCACCTAACTATTGGGCCTTCTGTACTTAATTTTAAGACAGGTGTGGACAGTTTTCAAAATGCCACTAAAACCAATTTTCTATGCTCTCTAAACATTTGGGGCTGATGGAAGCTCACCTGTGATCTTTCCTTTTCATGTCCCTATGCCAACTACTGTAAAGTACAAGTTCTCTCAAGCGATGAGGATGTCTCTTACTAGTGGCTGGGACAAATTCTCCTCTCTTCTTGGAAAAGTTCTTTCCATCCCCTCTTCCACCCAGAAAGATGTACCTGATCTGGGACACATCTTCTAGTCTCATTCCCACACACCATGTTACTTACTTCCCATGTGATTTGTTTACATGGTAGAGCTGGACTGCAGGGTGGCGTGGTGGGAAGGGAAAGTCACATCTTGATATTTTGGCTTTGTAGCCAGGAGGCTTAACCAAACAGCTCAAATGGGGAAACCCAGATTTGTCTGAACTGGCCTTGAGCCTGTCTAATTGAAAATCATCAGCTCAGAGCAGAGCACATGCTCATCCTCCCTAGTCTGCATGCTCTACGGCTCTCTTTCCCATACCAATGCCTTGTTGGTTTTGAAACACTGGGTATAAAGTGATCTCTATTGGGAAGTATTTTGGGACTATGGTGATTTCCACACTGAATTGTTGCATTCCTGAATACCAGAGGCCAGGTTTGGGAAAAGACAGACCCTTCCCTCTTGCTGCACGGCTTTCTCTAGCAATATGAGTTTTGCCCATGATACCTGAAGCTTCTTGGCCAAGTGACTGGCTTTCGGAGAGTCAGTACTCTGGGCTGGGAGGAGCTTCACCCCACCAGCAGGCTTCCTTGCTGTCATGTTCAGTGTGCTCTCCAGGCTCTTCGCTATTGCAGCCACCCGTGTCCCTATGCAGAGCAGAGCTGGTTAGAATGAGAGTCCAAGACCAGGCAGTCACACAGTAAATATCAGTTCCACATGGATTGATTGGGCTGTGCCAGTGCTCCTACTGGGACTTAAACCTAGAAGTTCCCAGCTAGAAGGGCTTGCCTCTCCACTTAAGGTCCGACTGATCACCATATTTGAGGTCAGGAAGAAATTTTATCCTATGGTTAGATTGTTATGGACTGTGGTGGTTTTGCCTTCCTCTGTAATGTGTGGTAATGCCCTCTGCCTTGGCTCTCTTGAGTCTATTTTAACAAGCCTTGCAGCAGAGGGCACTGGCTGTCATTATCCCCACCGCTTTACCTGTGGCAGGTTCAGGTGTTATGTTTTGTGTTATGCCAGGGTTGACCATGTAGTTTTGCTAATAAGCTACACAATGATTTGTACAGGACAGTTTGGACAGGGATGATCCCAACACAGGCAGGGGGTTGGACTAGCTGACCTCCAGAGGTCCCTTGCAGCCCCACTCCTCTATGATTCTGTGATTCTATAGCTAGATGGTTCATTGAGATTCACAGCGAGAGGGAAATAGGTGGGCTTCTTCCTTCCTGACTCATTTTTCTAACATCAGTGGACTTGGTTTGGCCTGTGCTCTGATGTTCCCAGAAGGGAATAACTACATAATAAAAATAAACGTTTCTCTGGGTATCTCAATGCTACCCTCCAAGGTGAGCCCAGGGCACCATCCAGAAGCATGTCCTACCCCCAGCCTCCTATTCTGGGAGTGACAAACCCCAAATATCAGGCATTGTAGTCAGTTTGGTGCAGTCCTGAGCAATCCCCAGGAAGTTTCTCATGACAGAGAGCCTGGGAGTGGCTTAGTAGCCAGTTTAGCATGACACAGTGAGCTATGTCTAGTTTCTGGGCTTTGGTGCATATGGTGAGGGAAAAGGTGGGTGGAATATGCTTCTCAACCCAAGCTATGAGAGCATGGAGCTGGATTTGGATTTGAGCTATTTGAGCTTCCTTTTTTTTTAATACCATTGGGGCATCAACTACAGTAGAGATCTTTGGCCTTAACTGTTCAGCAGTTTGGTAGTAGATGGGCATGTCTACACGTGCCAATTTAAGGTGCATTAGCCATTTCTAAGGCACATAAAGGGTGCAGGTCTACATGTGCGTGCCCTTAATACACCTTAAAAATGGCTAATGCAGGTATCAAAAGCAGGCATCAAATTTAGGCACGAATAGCTAAAGTGCCTTAATGTACATGTAGATGCACTAAGGTGCATTAATGCTGTGTATGTTGACTGACCTGGGACTAACTTTATCCCAAATCAGTCTGTGCATTGCATTAATATGCCTTAGCGCGTACGTGTAGATGCCTGCCTAAATCGCCTTAGTGCACATTAGGCAAATGTTCATTTAATTTAGGCATGCATAAAAACATGTGTAGATGCACCCAATGATTGTTATTTTGGTACTGACTGACCTGAAGGAGTTGTTCCAGCTGAAAGAACCATCACTGGACTGGCTTTTTCTTCTGAGGACTCTATATCAGACCAGTCCGATTCACTCGCATCATGATGTGTCATTCTGGAAGGGGTTTGCACTTGCTGCATGTTCATGGGATGTCTCACCTTCATTGGAGGAAGGTTGGAGTGGTCCCCCACAGACTCCTCCTCAGAACTTAAAGGTGGGGTGCTGAGGGATAGGCAGTGAAAGAAGGAAATGTCAGAGAAGGGGGGAGAAGAGTGCCTTGAGAAGTGGGGTCATAGAAATCTTGGGCCACTGGTGATAAGGACACCCAAACCATCTCTCTAAGTACAAGCTGATAGCACTTTCAGCCACTGGCTAGATGGTTGTACAGAAAAAACAGAGTGTTTCAGTACAAAAATCTCTGAAACTTGAATGCCAACCAGGAGAAAAGGAGGAAACATGAGCCAACTGTCCTCTTCTATTTCACGTGTACTTAAAGCAGCTGTTCATGCAGCTCAGCACAGCATCATGTGCAGGGGTGGGCTGTCGAAGTCCCCAAAAACCTTCAGTACTTACTTTGTTTCCCACCAGCCAGGAAGAAGAGGGAGGGGTTGCCTATTGCCAGTTCTTCCTATGTGACCTCTCTTTCCACCAGTCCAAAATTCTGCTCAAAATGCACATACCTTGTCCACTGCTTGGACTCTGTCCAGCCTCCCTTAAAAATCCCTCAGCTCACTTCTTGCATCCTAGAGTGAGCATGTGCTCATTGTTGTTTCGTGTCCTCAGACCCAATACAACTAAAGCTCCTCTGTACTAAAGATCAGCTGTCATCTCTTATCACCTTCCCTTCCTCCCACCCCATCTTCATTTTGCCTAAGCTGCATGGTCTCTCCATGCTTGTCCTTCAAGCACTTCTCTACTTATTTCTCCAGTCCTCCAAAAGCCTGAAACCACCTGAATTATTCCCTCAGTCAGGGGGAAGACATCCAAGGAAAAATGATAGCTCTACCAAGCATGACACTCCCCATTTTTGAGCCCATTGCCAGTGTGCAGAGGAAGCAATTATAGGTCAAATATACTTCAAGACAATAATGCAGTCATAGACTGATCTATCCGAAGAGGCATCATGATCACTGTTTTTATATGACTTAAAGACAGAGATGGTCAACCAGGCATTC